CAAGCCCTACACTAGGTGTAGAGCTTACTTCAAAAATTAAAAAAAAAAGAAATATGAATAATTTATACTACTTGTAGATGAGAAGATAACCAAGGGCAGAACTGCTTCACTTAGGTGAGTTACCACAAGAAAGGGTAGGTGGTCCCATTTCATAATGGTGTCCAGGACTCTCTGCATTATAGCTCGGTGTGATAATTATTAGTGATCATGTCCTGAGACACTAAAGAATTATGTTCATTATATTTAGTATGAAAGGGAGTCATAGGTTTTAGAAAATTTCAACTACCTGGAAAATGACACTTAGCCAGAATATTTCATTCACTGATGAGGTCTGTAGTCTATCCTCAACCCAGGGGCTGGAGTAATCATTTTAAAACACAACTTAGTTCATATCACTCTTAAGCTAAAAATGCTCAGCCAACTCCACACACTAAGTTTATACTCTTACTATTGTGGGCCTCAGAGCAACAATACTGGCACCACCTGGAAGCTCATTGGTGTTGCAGAATCTTTAGTGCCACCCAGACCTACTGAATCAGAGTCTTCATTTTAAGTACTGATGGGGCACCTGGCTGGCTTAGTCAGTAGAGCATGTGACTCTTTTTTTTTAATTTTTAAAAATTTCTTTTAAGTAGGCCCCACACCCAGCATGGAGCCCACTGTGGGGCTTGAACTCAAGACCCTGAGATCAAGACCTGAGCTAAAATCAAGAGTCTGGGGATCCCTGGGTGGCGCAGCGGTTTGGCGCCTGCCTTTGGCTCAGGGCGCGATCCTGGAGACCTGGGATCGAATCCCATATCGGGTTCCCGGTGCATGGGGCCTGCTTCTCCCTCTGCCTATGTCTCTGCCTCTCTCTCTCTCTCTCTCTCTCTCTCTCTGTGACTATCATAAATAAATAAATTAAAAAAAATTAAAAAAAAAATTTAAAATCAAGAGTCTGACATTCAACTGAGCCACCCAGGTGCCCCGAGCATAGAACTCTTGATTCATGGGGTTGTGAGTTCAAACCCCCCAGCTGAAGGTAGAGATTACTTAATGAGTAAAAGTAAAAAAAAAAAAGAAGTACTGACTTGCATCATCTGGCTCCTCAACTCCTACCATTCTTGCTCTCCTAGCTCCCATCACATGGGGTTCTTTCTCCTCCTCACCTATTCCATGCAGGCTCTCCTCTCAGGGCCTTTGCCATAGGTATTCCCTTTGCCTAGAATACTCTTCTCCCAAATACTGCATGGCTAATTAGGTCACCACTTTCAAGCCTTCTCAATGAAGCTGACACTAACCACCCCATTTAAAAGTGCAACCATCCCCCAAACCCATCTTCCCTACTTTGGCCACCTCTAATCTCCCTTACAGTATTTCCTTCCTCATAACACTTGACTCTTCTAACATCCTATACAATTGACTTTTGTACTATGCTTATTATTTATTTTCATCTCCCTCTGCTGGAACATAGCATCGTCAAGGACAGGAATTTTGTACTGTTGTGCCCTGATATATCACATATGTCTAGAACAGGGTTAGTGATGTGTGTGGTGTGTGGTGTGTGGTGTGACTTGCTACTTGTCCCAACAAGATTAGTAAAGAAAGAGTAATTTAATTTAGAGAAATAAATTTAGAAAAGTTTAGATCAATTTGGTATTGACACAACATCCAAATATGTGGTTATATATCTAGTAGGTGATCTTTGAAAACATGGATTCAAACTGGGTAGGTCCACTTATACATGGTTTTTTTTTCCAATTAATATATTGGAAATTTTTATAAGATTTGTGACAATTTGAAAAAACAGATGAACTGCACAGTTTAGAAATACTGAAAAAAATTAAGAAAAAGTTAGGTATTACTGTAAGAATATAGTATATAATTCATACAACATACGTTATATGTGTTAATCAACTGCTTATGTTATCAGTAAGGTTTCAGATCAACAGGAAAAAGTTAGGTATTACTGTAAGAATATAGTATATAATTCATACAACATACATTACATGTGTTAATCAACTGCTTATGTTATCAGTAAGGTTTCAGATCAACATGAGTAGTTATTAAGTTTTTGATGAATCAAAAGTTAGATATGGATTTTGACTGTGCAAAGGTCAGCACTCCTAACCCTTGCATTGTTGAAGGATCAGTTATATTCATTTTTATTGTATTCACAAAAATATCTGACTGTGCAAATTGGAAATTAATCAAGCTAAAACTGATCTTTTAAAACAGCATGAGAAGTCTGAGAACAGGACAGTTCCTGGCACTTAGTAACTATTAATAATTGTTGAGTAAATAGATGAAAAAAGTAAAAGGACAAAGGTCTAAAGAACACATTTTTAAACAGGAAAATCAGGTCCATTTATGCCTATCAGTCTAATTAAATAATTTCACTACTTGGATTAGTCACAAAGTGATTCGTACTATGCACTCCCTGAGTATACTGTGCTTTCCTCTCCTATGTGAAAATGAATCAGGCTCAAATGTACCAATTAAGGACACTTCTGAGACTCCCTGACTAACGGGCTGAAGACAGCCTTTGTACAAGCCCCACATCTGTATACTTCTTTGCATGCCTGCCCTGAGCAGAGCTGGCCTAACTTTAGATTTATTCCCTGCCTCCCTTCATCCCCCACCCCACCAGACCACTTCATACAACAGTGAAGTTATTAGCATCCATTGCAAGTTACAAAGCAAACTTGTTGGATGTTAGTGGGGTTTTTTTTTTTTTTTACACTGAAAAGATCACAACATTCTCATTCTTTCACAGAAATATAGGTTGAAATAATGGCTAATTCAAGGCAAAAAAAAAATTAAACACAAAGGTATAACTTGTTAAAATGTCTTACAGAATATACTCTTGTTTCGCAGCTGATAACCTTGAAGACATAAAACTGGAAAGCTTTTGTTCTTCAATCTCTCTTTGCTGCTTTCTAAGGTCAAGGAGAATTTGATTTACATAATGCATTGTCTTGCCTAAACCTATCCTTCTATGCCACTCAAAGCAATAGCAACAAAATAAAACAACTAGAAAAAAAAATAAAACAGCTTGGATCATTTTAGCTTGTTCCACTGGTGTTCTATACCTTTTTTGGGGGTGACTAAGAGACATTTTATTCCAGGATTATTAGAAACACATTTAAAACTTTTCTCTAGGGATGCCTGGGTGGCTCAGCAGTTGAGCGTCTGCCTTTGGCTCAGAACCTCATCCCAGGGTCATGGGATTGAGTCCCGCATTGGGCTCCCTACAGGGAGCCTGCTTCTCTCTCTGCCCATGTCTCTGCCTCTGTGTGTGTGTGTCTCTCATAGATAAATAAAATCTTTAAAAAAATAAATAAATAAAACTTTTCACTGACTCATTCAAGAGCTTCATTACATTCTTGCTTCCATTATATTTCATTATATTTCTTCATGACTTGGGATGCTCAAGAATTCAGTTAGAGGATGTAGGCTAGGCTGGGAGAAAGAATACAGAAATGAAAATATGTAAGCCCAGAGAGTTTACAATCTAGTAGGTAAATGAAAATGTAATGTAAGGCAGGATATGGTAAGTACTACAAGAGAAGTCAAAGGGCACAGAAGAGGGAACCACGGGGAATCAAGAATGGGTGGCTCAGTGGGTTAAGCATCTGACTCTCGATTTCAGCTCCAGTCATGATCTCACAATCCTGAGATTGAGTTCTGCATCAGATTCTGTGCTGGACATGGAGCCTGCTTAAGATTCTCTCTCTCTGTCCCTTTCCCCCTAGGCCCCTGACCAACCCCCCCCCCCCAAAATGCTCATGCTCTCTAAAACAAAAAGAGAATGGAGAGGACTGAAAATGGACAGGGAAGAAGGATAGATGGGGCAGAGGGCACCATGTGAGTGAAGTCACAGAGGAGAGAAAAGACATACTAGACATACTTGGAGAATAGAGAACAGTCTGGATATTCTAAAGCACAGAATGAGAAAGAGAGATCAGTGGAAGATACAGCTAGAAAGGAAAATTATGACCATAAGAGAGATAGCCTTGAATGTCACATCAAGAAGTTTACAGCTGATGCTGAAGCAATGGGGAGCCATGGAGGAGTATGGAAGAAGGGAATGTTAAGATCAGAGTATGCTTTAGAAAAACTCCTCAGGTATCTTTGCAGAAGATAAGTTGGAGGAGGAAAAGAATGGAAGCAGGAAGACTACTTAGGATGCTATTTACAAGAGTGAAAAGAAAAGTAATGGTGACAGTATGGTGGCAGACCAAAGAGAAAACCATCTAGATTGGAGGGAAAAAATAAGTGTAACAGGAAAGGCTATATCTACTGCATATTTCAGAAAAATAGGTGAAGTTGACATTAAGTGTAATGTCCATGTTTTAAGTTGAAATGCATTCTTTCTTTGGAATGGTCCACACTACTCTTAGTATCCTCTGGTTCATATATATTTCTTATGATCATGCTTCTATTTTGTCTTCTAGAATGTTGATTATAGTCACACATAAACCCCCAAACTAACTTTCACAATGTTCTATGGCAAAGAATTTAGAAAGGGGACATAAAAAGCTATTTCCCAAAGGAGTGTATGGCAAGATGTGTGTATTCCTGCTGAAAGAATGGTAGTGTTGCCAAAAGAGCACAACTGCTCTCTAAATCCATATTCCTTACCAAGTCCTAGATTTTGACCCAAAATGATCTGTTCTACTGAAAGCTGGGTCAATTGTTTATCTTTCCTTTCATGAAATGATATTGTGAAGCAGGTCCCTAATTTGAGGTTTTAACAGCTAAAGGGAAATAATGGCCTTTGATATTTATTCTCTTCCCTCAGAGAGTAAAGTAGAGTGGGGTGAGAAGGCAGTAAATGGCTCCTTTAACACAAATTTTGCTTCCAACCTTTATGGTTGCACAAATCTGAACTTTTTGCTAACACTAGATCATATTACTATCTGAGTCCTACCTTCTAGACAGTCTTGCCTAAACAACTCATCAAAAAATACACAAGCATGCAAAAAGTAGAAGTAGCATGCAATTCAAAATGTTCTTACCAGGTGTTGCAGGGGCTCCCCTTGAGGGACTTGGTCCTGGGAGACCTGGGGCAGCATGGCATGTCTGAGAAGACAGCAGATCAGTCCCAGAAACGGAGTGCTTCAGAAAGACCCAATAAGAGAAACATACTTTTATCTTCTGATGAAGCAGCCTTAAGGACATAGCTTACATTTAACTAAGGGACCTTTAACCCTGATGATATGGAGAAGAAGGTAAGTATACTGGGGTCATGTTGTGAGTTGCCCCCATCTTGCATTAGAATTGAGTGGAGGTCCTCTCCCTGGGGCAATTAGTAGCTAAGTCTCAGCACCTTTTGCTTAATTCATTAATTTCTTCCTCTGAACAAGTCAACCTAGCCCCCTCTTAAATTAATTATAGTCCAGAATATAAAAAAACAGCTATGTGCTGATTCTCTCCTATGCTTAATTTTTATCCCTAAGAAAGAAAAAAGAAAACCTATAGGAAGGTATTAATCTACTTAACATTTCTAAGTACATCATCCAAAGGATTTTGTTTTTTTAATCTTACATATGCTCAGCAGAGTTACTGGCAAAAACTGTACATTTTCTTCATTTCATCCTTTCAACATCAAATAGTAGGCAGCAAAAATTGGATCAGACTTCAAAGCCTGCTGTGGGCTCCAAGTCACAGAGAGACGCCTCCATTTCACATATTGAATTCGAGCAGGATATCAAAGTGCTACCAAAGAACCTCGGGTCCTTACTCAAAAAGAGGCTCTAACATCTGTAGAGAGTGGAGTGCACAGACAAATCACCTCGGGGAGCAGCTAGCATTTATTCTCAGCAGCAAATTTCCAGGCTTTTGATTCTCTCTTCACTGTACCTCCCTGTCTCTCTGCTGAACCAAAGTTCTTTAGCAAGCTGGGCTTTTGTCTCAAAGACTTCAAAATATCACTAACAGTTTCATGTTTGGATGACCTGACCAAGCAGTCACAGGCAAGTTTCACAGTCATCGACTTGGACAAGTCTGAAATAAAGATACACAGTCATTCCAGAAGATGGCCAGATACCTTATTTGGATGTCCTGTGGAGACATCACACCCTTTTGGAGAACCTTGGGCTTGTGGATGCCTAAAAATAAAAATAATAAATTTTAAAAGGCCTGAAATAATGTTTAAGAACTTAAAGAAGATTTTTTCTCTCCAAAGATGTATCAGAACACACTGTTACTGAATTTCCATTGTTTCCCATTCCAGTCCTTGATTAAAAGGACATGGTCAACTTAAGAAAATGCATCCTACTAAGTGCTGTTGCTTTATTCACAGCCTGAGGTCCTAAGACCATAAAAGCTGCCCTTTTTAAAGCTGTGTAGTATAATCTGGTTTACTATTAGGCATTCACAAACTTTACCTAAGAAGCCAACAAAACTGACACTAAGGTGGTACTTCCCAACCAGCACATCGTAATCATATTAATTGTTAGATAATTCAAAATAGATTCTGTAGTCAAATAAGTATGGAAAATGCGGAGTTTTACATAGTTAAGAGGCTTCCATACTGCAGGAATGATCTTTTATAATCAAAATATTCATTTCCAGATTCCTAAAGTGGGGGGTGCAGAGTGGGTGCAGTGTTTCTTAAACTAATTTGACCAAGCAACTTAAAAAGTGATAACCTACTAACATCTATTAAAATATTAATGTTTCATGGAGCAGAGATGGGAAAAATCGATTGTGCTGTGTCCCCAATTTCTAGTAATTGAAACTCATTTTATAAAAGTGTAATAATTATTACTCACTGTTAAAATATGAGCTGGTCTTTTTTAGATGGACCCCAGCAAAATAGAAAGCACTGACTAGGGGAAGAGAAATCTGGGTTCTAACTCCTCCTTCAAGATCCTTGGTGTCTTTCTTTCTCTCACACATCCTCTCTCTCTCTCTCTCTCTCTCTCTCTCTCTCACCCACACACACATACCAAATGGGGAAATTTTTATAGTATTGAGGGTTCATCTGCAAAATGAAGGAATTGAGATAAACTATTACTAAGGTCTCTTCTAGTTCTATATGAAAAAAATCTTATGATTTATTTAAACTGATAAATTCATTTTCTGATTTTTCTGTGAACAGTTCACAGATAATATCTTCAAAATGCATCTATATATAGGTATAAGAAATATCTCCCTTTAAAAAATATCACATCAATACCCTGGGAGAGGGGACTATAATGATACATATATTTCCATGTACATTTATCTTATGTCTCCCACTATGAAATGCAAGTTCCAAGAAGGCAGGGATCGGATTTGCTTAATTCTATACTCTATATCAGCACCTAACCCTAGGGGCTGGTATGTTGTAAAGGGCTCAATAAATATTTGACAAGTTGAACGAATAAAAGAATGACTCATGGACCTTCAAGTATGTGCCTTGCAGATTAGCAATAATACCCTTCACGTTAACAGTAAATTAATGAGCTTTTATATAATACTTCATATTTTTTCAAATGCTTTTATATATCTAATAAGAATTTCACAGCCGTTTGAAATTTTGATCTAAGTGCTTTGATTGTCCCTATTATCTAGATGAAGAAACGGTTGAGAGAGGGAGAGGGATGTGGCCAGGGATCAGGTGACTACCTGGCAGAGGGAAGACACTGACGCCTGTTGGCCTGACTTCAAATCCTCTGTCTTCCTCTGAAACTTGACATCTTTTATACCCTTTGGTTTTTGTGCATCAAGCTAAGGAACTCATTCCTGTCAGCCTAGGCAAGTCCCAATGGTTCTGGGACACCTAAAGGAGAGATGGACTCTGAGGTCCTCCAGGAGTCCTGGTAAGGTTTGGAGACAATCTAAGGAAGAGAGTTCAGCTGTCACATTACGATGGACTCTCTAATTTCTGCCCTACCTGCCCCAATATAGAAATGAAATCTCTTAAGAACTCTGCTCATTTGCATGGCTTTGTAGGATCTGAAAGCCAGGGGCAGATATCTTCCAACTCTCCACTAAGGGTCAGCTCATCAATTTGAGTCTCCATTCACACCTTTGGAAGAATCTAAGGCAGCTCAATATAAAGTTTATATGTATTACTTGGTTTTATAAAAGTGGAGGTGAGATGGGTAATGTCCAAAGACAAATAGATTAGAAAATACCTGATTAAGCAAATGCTTGATTAAAGCAGGTTTCTTTCCCAAGAGGCTTTCCAGAACCTTTAGCTTAATACCATCTACAATGAAACCTCACAAGCTGTAAACAATACACAGTATTTCCCAGATGTTATCTTAACAATGGCATTCTTCTCCCAAGGAGCATGATGGAGGCCTATTGGTTTCTATAACCTGCCTTAGGAACCAATCTAATCTGAGCAACACTTATTTAAAACAAATTCCAATCTGCCTTTTAAAAATGGTATAAGTTTTTCTTAAAAGTCTAACTGCCTCAACTTCGTTGCAGCAATTTATCAGATATGTTGTCATTTGCTCCAAGGACCTGAGACTGGCAGTGAATGATAATGTGATAATGTTCCATAAGCTGTCACTGCTGAAATAAGAAAAAAAGCCCAATAACAAAAAATAATTAATGCTTACTGAATGCATGTATGTTATCAGGCACTGGCACATGTTATCAGGCATGTAACCATGATACATGGTTATCTCATAATATTTCCAACAGCCATGTGAATTGGTTACATTTTTTATACTCATTTTACAGGTGAGGGAATCAGGGATCAAGAAGCTAATGACTTGGTTCATGTCATAATTAGTGCATAAAGAGTGTACCATAATTTGACAAAGTACAACATCCATTCATGATAAAAACCCTCAACATATTAGGTGGAGAGGGAATATACCTCAACTTAGTAAAGGTTATATATGAAAAACCCACAGCTAACATCATCCTCAATGGGGAAAAACCAAGAGCTTTTCACCTAAAGTTAGGAACAAGATAAGGTTGTCCACTCTCACCACTTTTAATTCAACATAGTACTGGAAATTCTAGCCACAGAAATCAGACAACAAAGATATAAAAGGCATTAAAATCAGAAAGGAAGAAGTAAACCTTTTCACTATTTGCGGATGACATGATATGACATACAGAAAACCTGGAAGAGGGGATCCCTGGGTGGCTCAGCGGTTTAGCACCTGCCTTCGGCCCTCAGGCGTGATCCTGCAGTCCTGGGATGGAGTCTTGTGTTGGGCTCCTTGCAACACAAGGAGCCTGCTTCTCTCTCTGCCTGTGTCTCTGCCTCTCTCTCTCTCTCTCTCTCTCTCTCTCTCTCTGTCTCTCATGAAAAAATAAATAAAATCTTTAAAAAAAAGAAAAAGAAAACCTGAAATATTCCAACAAAAAACTGCTAGAACTGATAAATGAATTCAGTACTGGTGCAGGATGCAAAATCAATGTTCAGAAATCTGGGCATTTCTATACATCACTAATGAAGCAGCAGAAAAAGAAATTAAGAAAAAAATTCCATTTACAATTGTACCAAAATTAATAAAATCCTAGGAATAAACCTAACCAAAGAGGTGAAAGACCTATACTCTGAAAACTATCAAATGCTGAAGAAAGAAATTGAAGATGACACAAAGAAATGGAAAGACATTCTATGCTCATGAACTGGAAGAACAAATATTGTTAAAGTGTCTGTATTACCCAAAGCAATCTATACATTTAATGCAATTCCTACCAAAATACCAACAGCATTTTTCACAGAACTAGAACAATCAATCCTAAAATTTGTATGGAACCACAAGGCTTTGAATGGCCAAAGCATTCTTAAAAAAGAAAATGTGGAAACATCACAATATTGGATTTCAAGATATATTGCAAAGCTACAGTGATCAAAACAGTATGGTGCTGTTTTAAAAACAGACACACAGATCAATAGAATGGAACAGAAAGCACAGAAATGAACCCATAACTATCTGGTCAATTAATCTTTGACAAAACAGGAAAGAATATCCAACAGGAACAGTACAGTTTCTTCAACAAATGGTGTTGAGAAAACTGGACAATCACATTCAAAAGAAAGAAACTGGACCACTTTCTTACACCATACACAAAAATAAATTCAAAATGGATTAAAGACCTAAATGTAAAGTCTGAAACTGTAAAATCCTGGAAGAGAATGCAGGCAGTAACCTTTTTGACATTGGGCATAGTAACTCTTTTCTAGATATGTCTCTTGAGGCAAGGGAAATGAAATAAAAAATAAACTAGTGAGACTACCATCAAAATAAAAATCTTCTGCACAGCAAAGTAAATAATCAACAAAACTAAAAGGCAACCTATGGAATGAGAGAAAATATCTGCAAATGACATATCCAATAAAGGGTTAGTATCCAAAATATACAAAGAACTTACACAACTCAACTTCCATCTAGATGGCCAACAAATACATGAAAAGATGCTCAACATCACTCATCAGGGAAATTAAAGCCTCACACCTGTCAAAATGTCTAAAATCAAAAACACAAGAAATTGCAAGTGCTGGAGAGGATGTGGACTAAAAGGAACCTTCTTGCACTGTTGGTGTGAATGCAAACTGGTATAGCCACTGTGGAAAACAGTATGGAGGCTCCTCAAAAAGTTAAAAATATAACTACTCTATGATCCAGCAATTGCACTACTAGGTATTTATTTCCCCACCAAATACAAAAACTAATTCAAAGGAATGCCTGCACCTCTACGTTTATTGCAGCATTGTTTGCAATAGCCAAATTATGGATGTACTTGTTCATCAACAGAAAAATGGAAATAGAAGATGTGGCATATGTACACAACAGAATATTACTCAGCCATAAAAAATGAAATCTTGCTATTTGCAATGACATGGATAGAGCTAGAGAGTATAATGCTAATCAAAATAAGTCAGAGAAAGAGAAATACCATATGATTTCACTCATATGTAGAATGTAACAAACAAAACAAATGAGTAAAGGGGCAAAAAAACAGAGAGGGAGAGAGAGAAGAAACGTTCTTAATTATAATTCTCTATAGAGAACAGAGGCACCTGGGGGGCACAGTCAGTTAAGCATCTGTCTTTGGCTCAGGTCATGATCCAAAGGTCCTGGGATCAAGCCCCACACCAGGCTCCAGCCCCACACCGGACTCCCTGCTCAGCAGGGAGCCTGCC